GTATTAGAAGGTACTCCAATTCTTAGAAGATTAGTTCAATGGTTGCTCAATATCCTGCTCGGTATTTTTCCTCCAAGAACGTGTGATACACTTCGCTTCAGTAAAGATGATTTTAACTTGGCCAAAATCTTATGTCCTCAGAAATATCAGTGTATAGGTCCACCATGAAAAATAACTTCAATATTTCCAGCCCTCAACATTGTATATGTATAGTACTGGTTTTTTACAACTTAGGTGTTACATCATGCAAAGCCGCTCTCGTCGTCCCCATATGCACTGGGATGGCGCTATCGTTGTGCATGGGCTCATGGAGGCGATTGAGACCCGAAGCAAAATACGTTCTATGGCTACGAGTTGACCAGAAATCATGCTTCAAGTCTATTTTCCATGCAGGTACTTGTCTTGGTAGTATCACTTCAGATTTATTACTGTACTTCACTACACTTTTTTGTAGGATTGGTTCAGTTGTAATAGCCCATCCTTTTCCTCAATCAGCTCTTGATTAACAAATTCAACATTTCAGGGTTTGAGCCATTGATAGTTGATCCTGTACGTGATGGCGACGCCTTAGTGACAGATATAGAAACCGTTAATAGGATTTTGGAGCAGCGTGCCGATCAGGTAGCTTTGATTATGGTGAAGCTTTTTTGGCCTCAACATAAAGAAACTTTGAGCTGGTTAGATTGAATCGTGAGGATGTGGAGGTTTTCTTCCTGCAATATCAGCCTCAGTGGTCTAATGGCCTAATCAGCTCGTAAAAGTGCGGTCGAGCTGGCTGGGTTGCCATTACCGTGCTCCGGAGCTCAGATAGTAGATGAGCAAACAATATAAGAATCGCTCCAAAATATTCAAGAAAGGTTCTCAAAGGCAGATGGTACGATGGGTCGTCCACTGGGAGTGGAACTAAAATGGCTAGACGCAGCAGCGAAGAAAAAAACTAAGAGAAACCTAAGAAACAGAACCTCTTTTCCCTCCAATTTCCGCGTTGGGTGAGTCTCATCGGTGCTGACGTCATAACGTGAGGTGCAATTGGTGGTGGGGGACGGGGAGGGGGTAGCAGCTGCGCTCGGAGTTTGCCATCGTGGACGTAGCTGTTTTGGCCCCAACGGATACACTGTCGCGAACGGTGAGCCCGCTCCCCGATGCCTCAACTTCCCGCCGCGGACACAGGAGGCGCCAGCCAGGCAACTACACCTACCTTCTAGTGGCCGGCTGGCTGAACTAGCTGCGCAGCCCTACTGCCCCTAGATATACACGAAGATGACAGCACATGGGGTGAAACCACATGAG